TTCCCCAAAGTTTCAGCCAGATTGGAACACTCTCCGAGTTTTCGCGGAGTTTTTTTTTTCCTTTTTTGCCGACTCCCTGAATAACCCCATTACTGAATTAGCGATACAGGTAAAATACCTAATTTTTAACCGGTATTTTACCTTGCTGAATAACCCCATTATGTCGTATTTTTTGAGATTTTCATTTAACTCACGAATGGTTGGGGATGCTTTTGAGTAAACGAGTATGCCAGACTCAACAGTTTATCTACATTAATATACGAGTTCCTGGATATGTGCCTGGCAAATGCTTCAACTTGTGAAACTTTCCGAGAGCGCGCTTTCAGTATTCCGACGGCGCTGGAGACTCCTAACATTCTCAAAACTCCTGCTGAAGCTTCTGGCAAATGGGCAGAGCATGCATAGAACGGGGAGTGCTTGTAGATGTGGTTAGCCAGTGTAAAATCCATTTTTCGACGATAGATAGCTGAGAGAACCACAAACAGTTTGTCATTTTCATCAGTAATAATCACGATTTCTGACACCGGCTTCATCAATCTACAGATGAGGCAAATGCGATGGCTGCTGAAAACAAAACTATGTTCTACATGGTTAATATCGTTTGCATACATTTGAATGCATGGAGCTGGCGAACTAGCTAAACTCATCGGCTGTTTGTTTGGTGGAAAACATGGAGGGCCCGCTGCCGGAACGGGCCCGTGTACTGTGATAATTCTTCGAGAAACCAAAACGAGTCGTTTTTTGATAGCTGGTGGGTTCGGAGTGCTGCTTCTGAAAATAAATAAGAATTTAAAAAATTTGGTGTTTTTCTCTTACTGTTCGACATCCTGCCCACAATTCTCATGTTGAGCACAAGATAAGCCGGGCAAGTTTTTGTCAATGAAATCGGCTTGTGACATTTCTGAAACATTTTTAGTAATTAGGGAAAACTCGCATAACTAAATGTAAAAAGAAGCTTCGAAAGGTGTTAAAAATCAAATTCAACACAAATTTTTTGTCGATGAATTTTTTGACTACAGTAACGGCTAAAGGGAACCGGAAACGTTTTACTATATCGCTGCGAGACCAAGTGATTTGTTGAAAGTTCTTACGGTAGATTTTCAATATTTATCGCAGCGAAAACATTTTCAGCTCAACTTTTCTGAACATTCGCATGATTTTCGAAGCTGAAAAATGTAAAACTTTGCTATTGTGTTGCCTTTTTTGCACTGTGATCTTCCGATCATTCAAAGAAAACATTTATTTCAAAATTAAATCAAAGCATATCATTTTTTGACGCCAGCGTCGTTCAATGTCACAAAGTTCAGAATAAGAAAATAGATTACATCGTTAATAATAGTAAAGGCGCTCGTTCGACAAGTTTTAAAGCAGGAAAATGCAGTTGAGAGGTTGGGACACTGTGTGGGAAAAGATGATTAGAAAGCATTTGAAGACTAGAAGTCAGATATACATATAAAATTAGAACATTTGTATAAAAAATTGAAAGATACTAATTATAAAATATACATAAGCATGCAAAATTTAGGTTAGAAGTTTCGTTTGCGGTCGTCAGGGTAAATGTGGTTTGCGTTTCTGAAATTAGTAGCGATTGTTTACTTCTTATAGTTGTTAAGCTACAAAAATATATTTGGAATTAAACTCACCCCTAATAAAGCCTCGGTGTTCGCTGCGAGACCAGCTCCAGGAATTACATGGGCTTCTTTTCTTGGTCGGATATCGTAAGTTCTTCCATTTGCACATAATTCGACCCTCACACCTGTAGATGGGTACGGTCTCGGTCTAGACACTTGAATCTTCTTCAGAGACGATGTCGACTTTGAGGATCCAGGCATTGACAAAATCCATTTTGGAGGCTTCGTTTCAGCGGTTAAAGTACATTTGGATATCTGCAAAATTTGTATGGAACAGGAAAAAACTTATAAAGCTTTCATTAAAAGATGTTTATTTTCATTTTGATGGATTAGCCATTAGAACATTTGATGTATATCAGGTGTGCAGATAAAAGTTGCAACGAACAGGAATATATGTAATAGGAGCAACATGAACACACAACAAACTGCAAAAAAAAAGAGGAGAACACCAAAGAAAACCGAAGGTTTAGTAGTTTGAGATGTTGAAAAAAAAAGAAATGTCAGTGATTGTTGTGGTATATACAGAGAATAATTAGGAACTTTTTTTTTCGAAATTCACCCGAAAGAATGTAGAACTTCGGAATTCTGTACCGTAATCTAGATGAATTTGATGAGATGCGAGTAAAATATATATGTAAAGGTTGAAAAGGAGCAGAATACGGTACGATATGCATAATCCTCAACAAAATCACTTCCGCACACTGCTCCGGGTCATGTACATTGCAGGAAGTGCTGATGTGGATGCGGTGTTACGTGTCACTGGCTTCTTATCTCCAAGAGATCGACTGGCTGGATTGTACATCTGCACTGATGAGAAGTTGTGTTGAGCGAGTGGCACACGAGCCGGTGGTGGTCGTTGGGCCATCACAAGGTGCGGTGAATCCATTGGCACTCGAACAAGTCCAAACTGCAACGAGATACAACACTGCCACATCACTATATTTAGAAAAAAAAGGGGAAGAGAAAATGGTGATGGTTCTTATAAGAAGGAGCATGCAAAAAAGGGAGAGTTTATTAAATAGTTGCTTCATGCATAATGGAAACATCGAAAAATGCTTTTGTTTTCACCTTTTCCAATACTATCTAACCCTTTATTCAGCAATCCCAAAAAAACTCACTTGTGGCTGAAGATTGAATGGAGTGGACGTAGTGGCTCCCAATGGTTTTTCTGATCGAAGACAAGTCTTGTAGCTGTTGGCACTTCCTGTGTAAGCTGGGGACATCGGCTTTATCGGAGTCGTTGGAGACAGATATCTAGTAGCCTCACTCCGACGAGAAGCCATTGATGGAAACACTGCGGATGCTGGCTGAAAAATATGGAATTGAAAAAGTTAACATACACATTTGGATTGTTGGGGATTAGAAAAAAGCAACTTCTGAAACACTGAACCTATATTAACTGAACAAATTTGAAAGAAAAACAGAGTGAGACACACAACATGAGGATACCTCGTATAATAACGAGTTGTGGAATCGGTAGCTCTCGTTGCCCTGAAATATATTCATCTGCTAACACTATTATAGACACTACAAAAATTTAAAAATAATTTTATCACATACCGTTCTAGAAAGAGTTCCGGTTCCATTGCTGCCAGATGGAGTTCTAGTTCGATAGGCAACATTTCCATTTGAAGTTGTCTTCAGCTGACGGCTACTGGTTCCAGATGAAGATGGACCAGCCGTCTTCGTTGGAGTGACCAGAAGAGGCTCACGATTCCGGTTAAGATACGCTTGACTTGGAACAGCCATTTGTGGAGCGGAGTTTTTGACGAAACGACGGCTTGGAGTATTGGATGAGGTTTGTTCTGCTTCATGTTGATGTTTTGCTTTGAGTTGAAGTAGGCGATCTCCCTGAGATCTTCCTTGTTCGTCCAATGCAGTTTCATCGACAACTCGTCTCGTCGATCGGCTAGTTCCTGGTGTTGACGAAGAAGCAGAAACCGGCGGAATCTCTACTCCATTTTGAGCTTGAACTTTTCTTCTGAGTATGTTGGGACGAGTAGTAGTTTCTCGACTCTTTGATCGTTTTCCTTCTCCTAAATTTATATCATCCACTTGATTGGCAAGACGTCGGACACATTTCTTTTCTTCTTTTGTCGGTATAAGATGAATTCCATTCGACTTTGACAATCCCCAGCAGAATTTTTGTTTCTCGACCAGATAGGGCTGCTGTGGTCCTATCACTGATCCTGGGCGGCACACACGCAACCAGCCCATGCACTCTCCTGCCGTCAAACCAAATTCTTTCATCATCCAACAAGCGATCAAAGTTCCCGTTCTTCCTAGGCCAGCCTTGCAGTGTACGGCAACTCCTCCTTGTGCACTATCGACCACTTTGATAAACTTCAACATGATTTCATCAGATGGCGTGCTTCCATCAACGAAGAATAAGTCAACATGGTCGAAGCCAGCTTTTGTGAACTTCGCAGCATCATAGTTTTTCGCGTTCAATCGAACAATCGTCGACACTTTTTTCTCGCGGAAGTAATCGAAATAGACATCTGGAGCGTGATATGGATACCCGTTTTCCTCTCGGCTTTCGTTGTGAGGACCACAAAAACTGAGAATCTTTCCCGGAACAATCCAATTGAAATCTCCGTTCTCAACACGTTCATAAAACTCGTATTCTTCATAGTCAAAGTCTGAGAAATCGAGCCATCCGAATCTCAGAGCTTTTTCAATTCCACGAAGAACATCATGAACATGGAGAAGATATTGGGGAGCGCCCATAGACGCATCACGGAATCCAATCAGTTTTGGACCATCTCCAGATGACACTTTCAAATAAGCATCGTCGGCTGAGAACCCTTGATAGATTATCTAAAAAGAGTATAAATATGTCCCATCTAAACTTTTCTATTTCTCACCAGAAAAGCTCCAAGAACATAGGCAGTGTTGACTCTCAATTTCTCATAGTCTCCCGTTCCATCCTCTTGACAGAAAAGAACCACTCTTCTGCCGCGTTTCTCTTCAACCTGCATCACACATCTTTTATCTCATCTGTAGATATACCGCTTACCTCCAGAAGTTTATCGATTTGAACGCATAACCTATAGAGAACCGACAGATTCCATGGTCCAAAATCCTCATAAAATGGCTCATAGTGGAATTTATTATTTACACTTATGAAACATGTCTTTTTAATCGATTTGTCAGACTTATCGATGGCATTCGGATCAGGGAAGCAACCGAAGTAGAGTTGGTTTGGGATCAGCTGAAGATAGAGTTATTCCAGAATATTCTTTGTGTCACTTACTTCTGTAATGGTGTTCTCGTTGGAGCTTCTGTTAGGCTGATGGCGTGGGGAGTGCTCGTCTCTCATTATTATATTTCTTATTATCCACCTCTCCTAGCAGTACATGGCCTGGAAAGGAAAAAAAATGTGTTCGTATTGTTCACAGACTATTGTCTTTCGCGGTGAATAAATATACGGGAGCGAGCTCAGCTGCTAAACAAGAGCCAATAGATTGAAAATCAAACAGAGGGACATATGGTACTGTCCGAAAAAAGACCTAGGAAGTTCTGAGAAGTATTGATTATGTGATAAAGTGTCAAGTAAAGATGTAAAAATGTGACATGCGATTGGGTGGGGCTGGAGGAAGAAATAAACACGGGTCGTGGAGAGAATGTACCCCTTTCTCTCCCCAACTGAATGATGATGCACTTGGCCCTGAGAAAGAAAAGAAGAGACCATGAGTACCAGGGAGGTTCAGAGAAACCGCGGGTGGTTGGCTGTGTGCCAATTGTTTAGTCACATTGTGACTGTCTAACATTTGAATTTACTTGCGTTAGGGCGGTGTTGCAATGGTTAATGGTTATTCGGATGATTGAATAAAGATGATAATGAAAACAAAGCTCACAAAAAATCTTGAAATATACTAAAGAATCGATTGGAGAATGTAATGGGACCTAGGATCGAACTGGGGAAATTGTGATATTCGGAATGATTTTCTCGAATTCAGGATGAATTCAGGTTTGAAATGATCGAAAGAACAAAATAAAAAATCAACCAGAAAGCATGAACAAGTCTATCCAAAAAATGTCAAAAAACGGTTGTTCAGGGGACAGCTGTAGCTTTTTGAAATTTGAATTTCTTCCGTTTCAGGGGAGCGCGCTTGCATTTTTTTTCAAAAAAAAAATTCTTCTCCCTAAACTCAACTAAAAACCTTTTTTGCTCGAAAATTCTCGAACTTTTGCAGGTATTACTTGTCCCACTTTGAAAAATTTTTTCATTCAACCTAGTTTACAGAATGAATCATCAATATTCGCCTATCGAGCTTCCCCAAAAGAAGAAATGGACCGAAGAAGAGAGAGCCGCTCTCGCCCAAAAGCTTGACGATGATCTCGATCGGTTCATGGAAGAAATGGCAGCCAAAAAAGTGGGAATCATCATTCTTTGGATAAAAAACATATTTTTCCAGGCAGAGAAACAAGAACCGCGGAAACCATTCGATTTCGATGAGTGGTGTAAAGAAATTGATCAACATCCAGCTTTTATGAAAGAACTGCCCAAAGATGGAAAGTATCAAGATACTATTGAAGCTCTTCAGGTAATTCTACCTCAGTATTTATTCAGAAATTAGTTATGAATCCAGGCTATGAAATACGACAAAGAAGACGATGAAGATAAGCAACAGAATGCTGAACATCATAAAAACGAAGGAAATAAGCACTTCAAATTTAAAAAGTATCGTTGGGCAACAGACTGTTACTCTAATGGTTTGTTATTTCTATCATTGGGAAGAAGATATTAACCATTGTTTTTAAAACAGGCATCAAAGAAAACTGCCCTGATCGTAAACTAAACGCCTTGCTTTATTTCAACCGTGCTGCTGCTCAGAAACATATCGGGAACCTCAGATCAGCCATCAAAGACTGTTCGATGGGACGAAAGTTTGATCCCACGCATTTAAAAGGTGTTATTCGGGGAGCCGAGTGTCTTCTCGAGTTAGAATACGCCAAGGATGCGATGAACTGGATTGAAAGCAGTAAACGAATTTTCGCTTTCACAAAAGAGACTTCTGAAACTCGTAAGTAGTTTTATGAGCTTTAATGAATACAGCCAGAGCATTTTCAGCTGACCTAACAGACGATGAGAAGAAGTATATTGATGAATTGGAGAAGGTACGAGTCAAAGCTGTGGAACTGTCACTGAAGGAAGAACGGGATAAGCGGAAATCCAGAGCCGAGGAAAGAAAGGAAACCGAAGCAAAGAAGAAACTTCTAGATGCATTGAAAGAGAGAAATCTCAATTTGAGTCCGAGAGTTCCTTTCGATCACCCCGCACTGATGGATATGGCACGTCTTACTGTTTCACTTCCATTGATGCACACGGTATTGAAAATGTCATAAGATCTTCTATTATTTCTCCATTTTTTAGCATGAGTGTGTCAAATTCGACGATGATTCCAATCTTGTATGGCCGATTCTACTGCAATATCCAGAAGCTGGTCAGACAGATGTGCTCACTGAAACCAATGAAACAACTGCACTTGGAGAGCTTTTGCAAGAAGTACTACGCGAACCAGCTCAGTGGGATCCCGAACACAAATTCAAATTTGACAACGTCCGATTTTTCATCTCCGATCAGTACGATGAATATTTGATGGAAGTTTATGAGTGGAACGACTTCAAGACGATTCTTAGTATGCCAGGCAATCTAATCAAACAAGGCCTGCCTGTGATAATGGTCAGTTTTATTTTGAAGAAGTATCCCTATTTCGAATATTTGTAGATTATGACCAAGGAACAAGCTGATAAATCACTGGAAGCTCTGGAAGAAGGGCAAAATAAATTTGTTGCCAAATAAGTTCGTCGCCCTGTGAAGTTTTCGATCCCTTGTCATTTTTTTCCGTTGTTTCTTGTTGTTGTTGATTAAATATATTACTATTGCTCGATAAAGTTATTCATGATATCGGAAGCTATTTTAAATTTTTCTTGGTTCTTCCCAACTATTATCGTGATGATTTTTCTTTTGTTTTGGTT